TATTTAAAAATGAATCAAGAAACCATTAGAGCCGATAATGACAATTGCATAATTCTAATAGATTAAGGCTAACTTTCACACAATTCCACCTATTGAGCAAAGAAATTCTTTCAACGTGCATTCAAAATATTTTGTCAGATTCGTGATATATAGATAATACTCAATCAATGTACCAGACGTGTAGCAGGAGTATTGATGATTATATGTACCAGGTTACGTAATCATCATTATCGGTCAGTAGACCAGTCGTAGTCGTACAGAATGCAAAAAATTCAATACTGCATGTAATTCCCCCTTGTCGTAACATGCATGGCGAAACTGGCAACTTTATTCTCGACATTCTTGAAATAGAGACATGACCGTATGTACAGTGTTTTCTGAAACTTTGTATGAGCTCTCCGATTTACTTAAAATAGCAGAAGCATTCATACTATACATTGGCATACCTCTGATTATTAACATATTCGAATTATTTTATAGAACACTAAATTTTTATACGGTGTTATACTCTATAGTGTACAGCATATAATATATTTTATACTATTTGGCAATATTATCGGTACACTATAGTATCCTATATAATATATATTATAGTACAGTACACGCTAATAGTATATTAGTATACACTATACAGCATAATATATTCCATACATTGTAATGTGCTATACTAGTATCTAATACGTAATATATTATATTATACCGCATATAGTGCATAGCATGTAATAATAGAGTATTTACACTTCTTTAATTATATCAAAAGAACAGAAATAAATTTTTCTTGGAATTTCAATGCTCGTATGACAATAAATATTAAATAATAAACAGCAAATAAAAAGTAATAAATATCCGATGGAAAAATATAATGATACATAATATGTTGACAGAGCAGTGACTGATAGAGAAGAATTATCTTGACGCAGATGTGATAAATTATTTTTAAGCAGACGATACTTCTGATTTATCGTATGATAATGAACAATCTTGTTCGTTACTCGATCCAACGAACATGACCTGCATTACGCGTAGCTTGCAACGATATCCGGTAAATCGAAGCATGTACGAAGCAAATACGATTCGTGTCTAAACGTATATCTGTTGAAAAAAGTCTAATCTTCCTACATATCGATTTAATTTATTTTCTCTATTGCGTAATTTATTACGCAACTATCACAGTAAATAATTAAGATATTACTATACACACTTGACTTATCATTGAACCTCCTCTAGTCTTCCCAGATACCGTCCAAAATACATAACAAAGTTGAAAGATTTTATTTAAAATTCATCGATAAAGTAGCGTAGACACACACATGATTCGCAATCACTGTTTTGACAATTCGAACACTTCGTTTGCTGCCCTATTATCAGCAATATTTTCTAACCATCGGCATCTCGGGAAAACGCGCGCAGAATTTTCGCGGTACGCGCCGTCCCTGCATCCGAATATACATTTTTGCATTCGTAAGCGAGCTGGCCACTGACTCCACAACATTCTGTGATTTCATCAGAAATCCCTGTTGCTCAGCTTTAACACGGTATTTAGTAAAATATATGCTGCCCGCAGAAGAAAAACCGAAGTTCGTATCTCGCTCGATTTAACGATCGCGAAAATTGTCTAGTCGTTTTCCGTAATGCGTGAAATTCCGTTACGTGCATCGCGATTTAAATCGTTTGGTAATTGCATTTATATAGTAGACATCGATTCGTTGGATAAAATTATCAAGTTATAATCATTTTCGATTATTTTAAATACTTTCCCTGGGTTTATGACCATTTAATTCTAAATTTATTAACTTGTTTTTTAAAATAAATATTAGACGTTGCTATTATTATTATTATTATTATTCGGTAATAACTCGAGTAATAATCATAATCGTAATTAATCATAATAGTATCTAGGGCGGATAAGATTGAGATTAATCATTAAAATATTTTTAAATCGAAGAATGTTTTGTTGCTATTCTTTTGTATGTTATCATGATTGAGTTTTTGATTAAAAAAATTAAAAAATCCTGAAATTATGGGAAAATCGCCATACAGTGTTTAAGAGTTTGAATTGGAATGCCAATTTTGATTATTAACGATGATAGTGATTATTATACAATTAAATTACGATAGCTTAATCTTCACGAGACACATACTGTATATTGCTAAAAAAAAAATCTATTTCATCCAATGGTCAAATAGTTAATAAATTTCTATCTTTAGACAGAGTCATTAACATTTTGCATTTGACCTTTAATCGTTCTAATCTTCGTCTCATTAAGGTTCAATTTTTGTTTACGGCTACGGTATCATAGACGAGATACTCTAATCAATTAGAACAGGAAAGGAATTGAAAAGATTGTCTTTAAATATATTCATTAACACAGGACAGAGCAACCATTAGAGTAAGCACTCTTGCTATACATTTAGACTTGAATAATTAATTCGTAATTATACAGTCGTATATAAATAATTAGCGTTTTAAGGAAAAAGAAATTAAGCTTATGATCTACTGAATCTCTTGCATCATGCGGTTAAAGTTTAAACAGAATATGAATTTTTGAATGATTAATAATGACTGATATTTTTTTATTGCAACGATTGAAGATATCTTGCTCACGTTTTGGAATAATACTAATAATATTTCCCAATGTTACTCTAATATAATATATTTAACAAAAATTAATTAAAGCACCAGTCGAATAGAAATAATTATTTAAATTAAAAATATCAAATTAATCGTAATGTCTAACATGCAATTGCTTTTACAAAATTAACGTCGACGTTTGTTAAAACAGTAATATCACGCAAAACAGGCGGGTAATTCTATTCAAAATAAATTATAATCTATTAAAATATATAATAATATATTCAAAAATAAAAATAAATTAATTTACACTAAATTTTTAAAATAAATTACAAGGATCGGTCCTATAAATTATACTATATATAATAAAACTGTACGATATAATTTAAATTATAATTCAAGTTTTGAAAATGCTCACACGAGTCATGGCAGGTATAGTGTTAAGTTATCTACTCTAATTACCTCACATAATTTAATCAAAGCATCCGCTGAAGTCATTCAATTAAATCCTTAACCTCGACGAGTCTTCAGTTTTCAGTTCGTTTAAATCTCCGGTATCATACGGGATTTCATCAGAAAATTCAACTGGTATTTGTGCAGAACTCGATATTTCATCGACAAGTTGACGAAACGACGTTCCTCTCTTAAATCATCGTCTTCAATAAGAAACTTCGATGCGTCTGCACGCGTGTGTATTTCTAGACGAGACATGCGTGGATTCGCGTGCCACTGGCTGCATATACTCTCTGAACGCGTGTCAAGTTTACGATGATTTCATATACCCCGTGATTTCGCCATTAGTCGTTTTTGCACCACACTTTACATTCGAAAACGAGAAAAGACAAGTGGCTATAGAAATAAGAATGGTAGAAATTGCTCGAATCAGGGAATTTCGAATTTTTGATCGATTATGACGAAAAGGAAGTACAAAATGTAGATGAATTCTGAAAATACCAGTAACTGAAAAGGTGGTCTAAGATTTTTGAAATTTAAAATTTGTCAAGGTATTGGACCATTGTTGACGATTTCATTGAACGTAATTTTTAATATTATTTTAAAAATTTTGTTTGATTTAATCTGGCTTTTGAAGATACGATAATTTCTTGAGAAATTAGATACAGAGACGAGATTTCCTTTATTCCAAGTGTTTGCAGTTTTTTCTTCACGTGATTCGATCATTTTTTATCATACCACAGCGATAACCGTGTACGATCATAGATCCTTGAATTCGTAATGGACTTCGTAATGCAGAGAACCGAGTATAATTAATATTGTTTCATTGGAATCGGAGGAAATAAAATTGGAGAAAAAATGCATATTACGTGAATATTGCAATCCTGTTTTTATTCAATAAGGATCATGGAATGCTCGTTGTATCCTTGAAATTTACATCTTTTGTTTATCCTTCAAACGATATTGCGGTGGTAATTATTATGAGGTGTAAAGGAATTTGTTATTTTTATATGTAAATTTTATATATCAATTTCTATTTAACGTATATAATATAAATTATATATTTAAATTCATTTTATAATTCTGACGCTGTATTATATATTTTTGAAATTGGAAATTATATTTGTTACAAAGAGGATGTAGAGAAGGTGGTCGGGTTGTTAAGAGATGATTCAGGTCGTTATGTCAGCTGTCATTATATCCTTATATACTCGTTAATTCCCTTCGACAAAATCTAGGAATTCTGCTATTTATCTGACTATTAATCGATACTTCGTAGTTAAGACTATAACACCTTACCTGATAGGCTTCTCGTGAATTATTTCCTTCGTAATTTAAGTAGCATAGATTAAAATTGACGTAGGTTAGAGTTTCCATAAAATAGATCAGACATATCTAGATATTAAATACATAAACAATAATAAACAAAGTTTCACGACAAAAACATTTGTTCACATACAAGAAAGATCATCGAAACCACCGTACATTTATTCGCACATTCACCTTCGAAACTGCCTAACCCAAATGTATTACAGAAAATAAGTCGAGTTCATAGACAATTAATAAAATAAAACTCACTAATAAATTATTACAAATAGCTTCGACGAGTGTTAATAAAAATTCGATTATTCTTACTGAAACATTGATTCTTTCTCTAAATTGGCTACAGTCCATTCGTCGTATTAATTTAATCACCGGAACTGTCACTTACATATCATATAGTTAATAAACAATAACAACGAAAGCCTCGGCATAAAAATACAATAATTCTCGAAAAAAGGATGAAAAGCATACGTATTCGCAGATTCGCTTTCAGGAACATGTGCGTAAGAGCAGCTCCGGCGTGCGACAAGTTGCAAGCGCGATTCTAGAAAGAAATGTCTCTGGCATTTACGTAAGCTGGCGATGATCGGAGGGGAAGCTGGCCATCGACGCCGTTGCATCCAGTGGCTTGCTTACGGATGGACAGTCTTAATTCAGCTTCAGTCCGAGTCGCCTCGTGATTAGTTTTCTTCTTGTGCATCGTATACAGTGACGTGTCCAATTTTTCTTTCACTTCTCTGCTTCCCTCCGCGGCTATTATCGTCCGTCGAATAATCGTCGCTTCCAGGCTACACCGATCTATTATTTCCACATTATCGACAGTCCCGCTTAAACGAAAAAACGAAAGCCATAAAGAAAGGCATTAAGATAACGCACTCGCAGAGATATTCGACAAGTTTTCGTTGGTTTGTTTACTTCTGAGCCTACACTTCGCAGACCGAGCCGATACCTGTAGTTAGCAGTCAACAACGTGTTCACGAAATTCAACGTACGTATACACTTGGACTTATTTCATACTTTTTCCGTTTATTTCCTAATTTCCACGTGCTTTTCCTCTTCTTCGAAGACTTAAAAGTTCCAGACAATTCCATTCCTTTATTATAATATAATATATTCCATTGGAATATAAATTTAAGCTAGTTAGAGGTTGCGGTAGATTTATTAAAGATACCTGGCTTAGTGTATGATTAAATTCGATTTTGGACCATTCGATTGTTTACAAATGGAAATTAGCCCACTCCAATCTGAGCCTTCCGCTTATTATTTGTCTGAAAAGGTTGGAAATTGGTTTAACGAATTGATCGTGATTAATGGGTTCGACGTTTAGTGAGTTTTGTTAATCTTGAATGGCTGTTTGATTAATGATTGGTGTCTTCGTTTGTTTCCTCGTGATAGGTCGAGGAATAGTTGGTTAATTATTGCAGCGTTGTGTATCGCGGACAAAGTTGAATGTCAGAATTTTAGGTTAAGCAAAGCGAGAAGAAATACATGTGAATTGTTCGTTGTAATAACTTTAGGCATTGTACTTTGTACAAGAGACCGCTATTATAGAACGAGCGTTTTTTAATTGATTTCGTTACGTATCGTTTATAAAATGGAGCCTGTAACATGTAAACAAATAATATTGTCAATAACGAGAGTACGAATTAAAATGAAATTATTTTGAATATGCGTTACGGTGTGCTGCTCTTATTGTTTAAAATCTAAATTATAAAATAAACCTGAAAATGTAAATCTTCTTTAAGTAAAACGAAAGTCGAATATCGAATGCGATGATCGAATAAAGATCTCGTTCGATTGTTTTCTAATTTAAAATCGAGACGTCTAAAACCAACAGTTAAATATCAAATGCAATATTCAAATAAGAATTCTTTCTATTTGCTTCGTAATCCAAAATAGAAATATCTAAAGTAAAAGTCGAATATTAAATACAAAACACAAATTAATATTCATCTCGTACGTTTCATAATTCAAGATAAAAATATCTAAAATCAAAATTCAGGTAGAGTCACTGAGTTATAGTATACGTAAAAATATAGTATACATAGATAATAATAGTAAAGGCAGTATGATGAAATAAACACGTATATATAACAATATCTCTATCTCAACAATGCTTAGCAGTAATTCGATTAAATATACTTGTACGTTTCGAATACATATGAAACCAAGAAATTTCGAATCCGCCATTTTAACAAATTTAATATTCTCAGTGTAAAATAAAAGGTACTTCATGTTTATATCACAATCTAAATTAAAAATGTGTAGTATATTGAAGCTCATTGCCATATTAAGACAATGATTTACATCAAGTGATCATTTGCAAAAATAAAGAGCTCGATCTTGAATTAGAAGATAGAAATTAATTTCAAATACAAATCAATGATTCACCTTGTACTCTATTCACTAAAAAGACTCGCGTTCTCTTGACCATCGAGTTGAGATTCAAACTTTACCGACATTTCCCTTGATTTCGATAGATCCCAAGGAATTTCCTGTCGACAATATGCCGAGCAGCAAGACAAGAATTGCCATAGTTGGTGGTGGCGTAGCTGGATTACTGGTAGCTCGCCACACAGCCGCCAAATTGGACACTTACAGTCTCACTTTATTCGAGCAAACGGACCAGGTGGGTGGAACATGGATCTACACCGATGAAACGGATGTGGACAAGCATGGATTAGCGATCCACAGTAGCATGTATAAGAATCTGAGGTTAGTGTGAAGCTTCCTTTGACATTTCAGGTGCCATTTTGTCTCTCTAACTCGCAATAAACGCTAATCGCTTCATCAACGAATCCTTGGCAAACCAAATCGATCGAGTAGACATAAATGTGATATTCTTTCAATTCCTTGATTACATGATCCTTGAATTCGTTTGAAGTATTAAAATCAATAGATTTTTAGATCGATAGATATGTTAATTATTTGATTCCAAATATAGTAAATTTCTCACCAAAGAATTACCTAGTAACACCTATACTCGGCTCCTCAGCAATTAAACTCGGAATTATGAAGGAAACTAGCGATTGAGAATATTCTGACATCATCTAAGTATCTAATTTGCACGTTTTATACACCAATTAATTAACTCCGTATGCGCAAAATATTTCAATAGAAGATACTCGGTAGAAATGCAATTAAGTTCAGAGCAATCTGAAATAGCATTAATCAAATACATAGATACGGATAGTGCTCGCATTCGACATATTTTTCGCGAATGCAAGTCTAGGAAACCCGTTGAAACAGCATCGAATGTTGTTATCCGGACCGGTCATTCATCGTTCGAGTACACGTTGAAAGACGGTGGTTAGAACCTCCGCGTACTCGTTGGACAGTTCAGTGATTCAGATGCATCACTACGTAGACGTATATCGTGGTCGATATTACAGCAGGCGACAGACGCACCGTCGCCTTTGCTCGATATAGCAATCGATACCGCTTCGACATCGCTCGAGGAATGAAAAATATTCGCGGTACTAATTAAGCAGAGGCAGGTGATCAAAGGGAAAAGCGTTCGCGATATCGAACGAGGAAAAGCACGAGCGACGCGCTTTCACTTCGTAGACATCGCAGTTGCATGAAAGTGTTCGGTTACATTTTTCCGATGGTCGGATGTAACCATGTTGACACGTTAACTGCCAACTACGAATGGACATGTGATGTCTGGTCTATGAAGCTACGAGTTATCTTGTGCTTAACCTATTGATAATTTACAATATATACATGTATACGTATATGTGTTCACATTGAACCGGTCACATGACCGGTTTCCGAATAAAAACTGTCTTTTTGTCCACGAATGAATAATTATCAGCTCGATAAGAGTAATAATAAATAAACCAAATAATTTTTAGATAAAAATGAGAGGGAAACTTTTTTTCAGATGAAAAAGATAATTAGATAACAACAAAGGAAAATTGTTCTCGCCATTTGAATTTTAAACAAAAATTTAAAATACGGAGTAAACAATAGATGTGTAATTTGTTATATTTGTTTAACAAACAGGTTTACTTTATCTGTTTTCATGCCTTATTAAGAATTGTGCAACCTTAATATAAGGGTATAAATAAGCAATTGAAGAGAATGAAAATTCCGTGTTGTTAATATAGTTTGTTTGTATAAAACTTCCATAATTATTCTTCCAATTTTACTTCATTGCTAAAACGAATATACTGTTATTTTACACGATTGATTACCATTTTACACCATTTACACAATTTATTATATAATCGAATTTAATAATGAGAGTTTGAAAGATATCATTAATATAAATAAAAAATAATTACGAGAAAATAAACCACTGACTAGTAATTTTGTGCTTTTTAGTATATTTTCTTAATTTCCTATTAATAAATGCATTCCTTGCAACACTTCGTAAACCTTTATAATATAAACTATATTCTCACAAATTATTCAAATATCTTTCATCAAAATACTCAATATTTTATTTAAAACACTCAGAGTGCAATCATTGCATCAGTTACTTTGTCACTTTTGCGTAAAAAGATTTCCACAGAGAATTCAAATTTCGTGCAAATTTTAAATCATCAGCTTAGGATGCTGGCGTATCTCAAACAGCAAAATAGAATCGTTCCGTAATTAAATTTATACTCGAGTAAACTCTTCGCAATTTGGATTATTCGATCGACGACGCAAACACCAGATGGTTCGATCATTTTTGTTTTCATACTATTTATCCGGCAATGGCGCTAGTTGCGTTCTACTCGGTCTAGCCGCTTCCGATAAACTCTGCTGACACGCGATACACTTCTTGACATAGTAACGAGACAATCGCTATGATAAGCTGTCTAGGTACAAAAAGAAGTTCGACATTTAAGTAATTAATCGATCGACGAATCGTTCGTGAAACAGTGACGAATCGGAAGTTATTGCAACCCAAACAGTCATCATTTTGAAGTCTCTACGCGAGACAGAAGAGTGGAAAGGACGATTACGCTAGAAAAGTTCGCTTTTTCTTTGCTAAACGTTTTACGAGAAGTACAATAATATTTGTGGAACAGACATAAATGTTACGAAATGTATAGAAACTTAAAAGGCGCATTTCCAACGCAATAACGTTTTGGGTCGAAACTAGTTTTATTTTATAGAGTTCACGAAATGGTAGAATAATTTTATTGTAATCTAAAGAGTTCAAGAAATTATAGGATAATTTTATTCCAATATATAAATGATCGATGATGTTATTTCATTGATTTTGTCATTATTACGACAAACTTGTTTAGTTTAGATTCGTCCCTTTCGGAAAAATATTTGACCTTAACGTAGCTATAAAAAGTTACGATAATTCAAGATGGACGAATATGAAGGTCTTTTAAGAGGATTGTTAATGAATAGGGGAAAACCTTGAGCAAAAGATATATTTTTAATTTAAAGAAGGAATTATTTGTAAACTGGATTTTTCTATATAAAATAGAAAACATATAAAACAATTAATACTTCATAATTAAATAGATAGGTATTGGTATTATTATAAAGATAATATTTTAATGGTAAAAGTGAAATGTAAATTAATATCGTTGTTATTAAAAAGTTTCATTTAGTCGATTAAAATCGATTTGTTTAAAAAATTATCGAAATATGTTACAGAACAAATCTTCCTCGGGAAATAATGCAAATACCAGATTTTCCAATGAAACACGATGAGGGACCATCATTCGTTCACCATAGCGTAATTCGAGAATATCTTTGGGATTATGCGAAACATTTTAATTTATATCCACACATAAAGGTAATGATCGCTTACAAAAATTAAAACTAGATTTTACAAACTTACGTTCTGATTTCTATAATGTTTAAAAGTGAATTCTTTAAATAAGAATATTTAATTGCCGAAATAAAATTACTGCGAGTACTATTTATCGGTACAAATACAATTTAGAGTAAAAGTTTAATTTGAATATTTTTTAAATTTTGAACAATTTGAGAATTATCCCAATTACTCTCGTCATTGGCTCACTCTAAGACACAAATTTTGCAATATCAAATTTTCAGTTAAACACGTTAGTGAAACACGTGGAACCGGAAACTCTGCGGAACGGTCAAACTATCTGGATGATCACCTACGTGGACATGGAAACCAAAATAGAGACAACTAAAACATTCGACGTTGTGGTCCTCTGTAATGGTCATTACACTGTAGGCCATATTCCACGCATTCCAGGTATCGAAAGCTTCCCTAGCGGATCTATACATAGCCATCAGTACAGGGTACCGGAAGTGTACGCCAGAAAGAAAGTTTGCATCCTAGGCGCGTCCTGGTCCGGTATCGATATTGCCATGGAGGTCTCGCAGTATGCTGAGAAGGTACACGAAATGTCACTCGGTGTTACTTTGTCGGGACTTGTTTCCGAAAGATTCGTTCTCTCGATCCCTGTTTCTACTTTTACACAAGCAAACTCAAGAAAAATGAATTTTATCACGTATTGTGCACGTTGAAACACGAGTTATATCGCGAATCGCGAAAATTTTTTGTGCATGTGAATGAGTTATTTGCGATTACACGCTATCGTACGAGGCACGAGGCACAGCTTTCGTTCGTAACGAGTCATCTCACGATACTAATTGATTTAAGAGTTGCGTTGTAATTTATAATAACTTTGTTTTCAAACAGTGCATTGATTTCGTCTACTTTGACCATTTTTCTTCTTTACCATTTTTATAAGAATTTCGGTCGAATATTTTGAAAATCGTTGCTAATATACTGTAGCCCTTTAAAAAGGGCTATCGGTAAAAAAGTTAATTCTAGATAGCATGAGAAAATAATATTGAATTTATCTGAGAATAAAAAGATATTACATTTTATCGCTTTGATATTGTAGATAGGATTGTTTTTATTCGTTAAAATTATTTTATTTTATAGAATTATTTCATGAGATACTTTTATACCAATGAGACATGATAAATATTACCCAGATATTACCGACTTCTAGCTATTTTCTTTTTATACTGAAGTTTTATAATGACAAACAAGAGAACAATGCCTTCGACAAAAGTTCGATACAACTTATTGAGTTGACAGTCTAACATTGAAATACTTCAAAATTCATTTCTCTCTATTATAACTGTTAATCTATTAGTTCTCTTCCTATTAACACAGGTATATTTAAGCCATAATTTATCTGCACTGGGTGATTCGAAAATGCCTAAAAACGTGGAACAGAGGCCTGGAATCCAATCGATTCAAGGAAACATATTCATCTTCCGCGATGGTTCCACAGCTGAAGTAGACAACTTTATATATTGCACCGGTAAAAAGACTTGATCTCCTTCGTACATATAAGTGATCGAGGTATCCCAAATTAATTATACATAAGTAAATTAATTTCGTCAGGGCCCTGTCGAATGTTCTTCAGGCCTGAATCAACTGATAAAACCTCTACTATGCTTCAGTTTAAACGTCATATTCCATTCTAGTCATAAATTATCAGACCAATTAACACGTGCCGATATTAATTCTAATTCCCATGAAGTTTGCATATTTTTTAAGAATTAATTTCTTTCGCTAAATTTGATAAAGTATGAATTTGCTTGGAATATTTAGAAGATAAGATAAATCCGTATAGATCGTTTTGTCCCTCGGTAGGACCCTGACCTTCTCAATTCCATATTCGTTAATACCGCGATTTCGATGAATGTTATGCTTTCAGGCTATAAATTTACGTATCCCTTTATGTCGTCTAAAGTTGAGATGCGTACCGACGACAACCATGTCGAGCCGATTTACAAACACCTGATACACATCGATTATCCGAGTTTATTCATAATGGGACTGCCAGGAATTGTAATTCCGTTCCCCATGTTCCATATACAAGCACAGTATATATTGAACATTATCGAAGGTCACATTAAGCTACCTTCTGCGCAGCAAATGAGAGAAGAGTATGAAGTGGAAAAGAAAGCTCTGCTCGACCGTGGAATTCAGGTGCACACTTTGTTTATGAACTTAATATAACGTTATGTCTTTCTATATTATTCTTTCACATTAAAGATTGGAAAGATTATAAATTTTTACTTAAAAGTTCTAATCTTATATAATATAAAAATTACAAACTCCTTTGCAATTATTTTATTTTTATAGTATACTTCTGATTATTTATTTTCTTTAATTAATTATATAGGCATACTAGTTATTTCGTAGTTGCAGCTATTCTACTTGCAACTCTATGATGTAACTTTAATTATTTAGAAATCTTCAAAAAGAAGATACAAATTATTTCATCATTTTGGAAAATTATAAATATTTATGTCTACATAGTAAATGATAATTTTAAAAAATTAGAATAATAAAAACCAATGCACTTGTTATTGTAAATAACTTAGAAACAAGTTCCAACTGAGTAGAAATTTAACTAATTTAAAAAATTACTATACATAATTAAAACGAAATTATAATTTAATCCCACCCTCTCGTTGTTTCAAATATAATTGAAGAATAAAAATACAAATGAAAATTTTTATTTCCACAGCTAAGGCATATCAATAAACTAAAGGAACGACAATGGGCGTATTATGATGAGCTTGCAGCGGCTACAGGCATTCCGAGTTTTCCACCAGTAATCAGGAAAATCTACGATCACTCGAACCAAATGCGTGAATTGGATATTGGCAATTACAAAAATTATCAATATCGCATAATTGACGATGAAAATTTCGTAGTGTGTTGCTGTAAACCCTGTTAAGGCTTAAACTCGAAAATCAAAGGAGATATTTCAGATAATGAATACTTTTGGACTGAAATCGTTCAAAGCTCACAATTGCTTTCGCGTTCAGTGGTGTTACCTGCATTTCTCGTTCCACTAAACGTAAGAGTACCTTAGTGTCTTAATTTGCTAGAAGTGAAATGCTAGTGCACATTTGCCGAGATAAATCAATTCAAAACACACAGAACTTCGATTACGCGAATTCTTCCTGCGCTTTACATACCACTTTATGGAGTAAAGTGTGTATCTAGACGAATACGTATATACACGCAGTAAGTAAAACTTACGCAAGCGAGTATGCCTTATAATGCGTTCGATATGGTTTAGTATCATTTCCAAGGTACACTTTAATGCGAAAATGTGATAATAGCACGCTCATGTTGTACATAAAGAATGCGTCAATTACATTGTACTGTTACTCATATCGATTAAAAATCAAAGGATTTTTATATAAAGGAAGAATATTTTAGATAAAGGAAGAATTATACAAAATGAAGGATAATATTTTGACAAGCGAAATAAAGACTCATGTTAGCGCGACTAACAGGATAAATTAATACCATGATTTAAATAAAATTGTTCGTGAAAATCTACGGTTTTGTAGTTTAGTTGCTCCTATATTCCTTCATAACATTTATAATGTATCTAAACTAATTATTATTAACTAATTTTCACTTCGGATTGGAAATAGTAATAAACTGTAAGGAAACAAATTTTATATAAGGAAACAAAATTTTTATTATAAGAAGTTGAGTACTTTTTCAATGATTACATTTCAAAATTAATATGCTTCCTAGTAATTGATATTAAATTTCCCGGCAAATGGTGGCTACAAAGAAAAGCGCGCGTTTCTAGTATTCGTGCCGCAGCTATTGACGTGACAGAGTGTATAACCTAAGTGTGGTGTGAAATATATTTTAGTTTTTGAAGAAATTTCAATATAATTAAAATAAATGGCGGAGAATATTCAAAGTAAAGCTACTGTTGCATCAGAAAAGGTACAAGAAAGTCGAGAAGAAGTTCCAGATGAAGAAAATGCTCAGAAAGACGAAAAATCAAGGGTGAATGTGGAGGTGCTTGATGACACAGAAACCGCGACGCCAGAACAACCGGTTTATCAAATGCGTCCACAGTTACACGAGAAGTACTTTATTATTAATATTATATCCTTTAAAGTTGAACCGTATGGTTTTAGTTTAAACACTTTTGAACAAAACTTTAACTATACGAAGTTTATTTGCTAATTTTCATTTTATTTTACGTTTAATACGTATATTACGAGTAAACGGTAATACTTTTTTTTTCTTAAATATTAAGTAATAATTTATAACTAGGAATTATATATGGCAATTTAGTATTGCTATTATAAACAATTTGTGGAAGATATTTTATATGCAGGATAGCTTTTTAGTGTTAATAAAAAATTGTTAAAATGAGTAATATGAAGAGCAATAGTTTGGTTGGTTGATAAAATTTTATTTATAATTGTAGTTTAATAAGATATATCATATCTGATCATGATATAAAAAGAATAAATATTTTCGATGCAGGTTTAAACCTTTAAGCGCTAAGGAGGTTATACATAATGTGTTATTTGATCAGCTTTCTGCGAAAACTTACAATGCTCAGGAAGCTGCTCAATGGACTAGAGATATAGCAGATACAATTAGAGAAAAAGTGAAAGGTGAAGTTTTTTTTTTGAAATAAGTTAGGTGCTTATAAAGCAATATATTAATTTTGATCAGATGCTTCTAAATTTTAAATAATTTGTTGTGTACTTTTAGAGTTAAAGTTCAAACGTTACAAGTATATCGTAAATGTGGTTTTGGGTGAACAACATGGTGCTGGGGTAAAAATGGCTACAAGATGTATTTGGGATGCAGAGGCAGATTCGTATGCACATGATAATTTTTTAAATGTAAGAATTGCACAAGTAATTTTAATATTTTAAATTCTTGTACAATTATTATGTTCAAATTTAGGAATATAATTTACATTGATAGTATTTTAGTATCTTATAGCATTAATTTTGTGTAAAAAAGATATTACTAAGGATTTATATTGCTTTTTAGAGATTTAGAGATTAATTGTTAATGATAAATATTTAAAATTTTAAATAATAGAAAAATTTTAAAATAGCATTTCTTCAATACAAAGGTAATAATATTTTTTCAGGATACAATATTCTGCGTGGCTACTGTGTATGCTGTATATTTTTATTAAAGAGTGGTTACATATTTCTAGATGTGATTTAATACATATTTGGTATTTACCGACAATAGTATTTTAAAATGTTGCAAATGGAGGGAGAATAAATATTTATGCTCTCATAGGAGGAGTAGACATTTTATTAAAATAGAAGCTACTACTAGTTATTAACACACATTTTATATATATTGTCATGGCACAATTTTTACATATTCAGAAATATCTGTATCCATGTATTTTATAATACACATTCCCATATTTTTAATGAGTGTGCATTACATTTACACTTCTTTGTTCACTAAAATTATTATAGCACCATAATTCACGGTATTATTCTATAGTTACAAAAGTTTTTTAAACGTGATTAGAGGCACTGGCTATTATGGCTATGACTTTTACTTATATTTAGGTATATTAAGTTTATTCTAAACTATGAAAATTATTTCGACAAAATGGTCTCTACAAATTTTTGAGGATACTAAATAGCTTATAAAATGTATTGCATATGTAATCGATACTCGTTTGTTTCATCGCAAAATTTTGTAACTACGTAAATATATAATTAATCGTTATAACATATCTGAAAATTAGAAGAACAGTTTTGGGTGTTTCATAATGTATTGTACATAAAATATGGTTTGTAATAATATAATGGCATAGAAAAGTACACGCCATTGAAATTATTTGTAAAAAAATTTTCCCGCCGCAATGTTCACTTAAACTTTCAATTCTTGGGAGAAATTATTGAAACTATTTTGGATCTTAGAAAATTTTAATACAGAGTATAAGATACGTATTTTATATCAATACATTTTTGTATATAAATACGACGTAATGTGTATGATGAAATGTAGAACTTGTAAGAAATATAAGAGTATTTTTGTAATAAAGAGAAAGGGAAAATAAATAAGTTTTTTATTCCTAAGAGTGTAGAAAATGAAGATATAATATTAGAATGAACAGAACCCAGTTGCTTAATACCTGTGTTCAACAGGATGCATTCAGTATTCTCTATAAAATAACATTGTGATAAATCGCAGATAAAAATCAAAATAAAAAAAGAAAATAGTATATTATAACTTCGTCTGTTTGCAAAAATTATTTAGTATGAAAATGGGAACAATAAAAAAGAAAAGAAAATAAAGGAAAAAAGAAATACATCAGTATAATTATGTATAAGTTAGAAAACTTACATTTAATTATGATACTATGATATTTAATTTCTTCTAATCATTACTTCCTCGGATTAAAATTATACCAAGTTTCAAGTGTATATTTATTTATCGATATTTATATATATATATACACATGATTGTTGACAAACAGAGAATCAGAAAAATATTTGATGTTTTACTAGTTATTTCGTAGCTTCTTAGAGTTATTTATTATTCCTTACGATAAAAATATTCTTCCTACGTTTTATTCTACGCAAATTACGGAAGACTGATCAATCCTGACGCGCGATCGTTGAAAACATGACTATTAAGTTACTTAATCGGTTAACGCGTTAATATTAATATTAAAATAAGTTACATAATTACACATGGCAAGGCACAGCAGAGGGGCAGACAGACAGGGACGACTGCTTTACCACTGCTTGATTTTGATTTGCTCTTACTGGATGCTTCGTATTCGTATTTTGCTCTAGCTTTTTGCCATCCACCCTGTGAAAAAACATAATTTTATATACATGCTGTAGATGTATAGGTATACGATACAAGTATACTGAACAAAAGACTAAAATAGAAATTATTCACTGCTAGTTATATAATTCTTCTCCAATTAATTTGTAACGAAGATTAAAATGTATTTGCAATCTAAGTACATGTATATCTTTGCTCAAAATTAAATTGTGATCAATGAAATTCATATTCTACTTACACCAGCTTGTGCCATAGCGCTAGATTCTTCTTTTTTAGTGAATTCTGCTGCTCCTGGAGGGTAATAAACTGGAGGCCCAGCGACATTTTTACTTTTCACTTTGGGTGGTGTGTGAGGCACAAAATCGACTTCTTTTTTAGTCGATGGTGATTCTTTCTGTTGTTCCTTTTCTCTCTTCTCAATGTCTTCCAGTACCTCACGCTAAAAAAAATGGCAATTATTTATCTTGCACACTGATAATCAAGCAAGTTTAGCAAATTAAATTCAGTAATTTCAAGGTAACTAAAATTATTATTATTATTTATAATATTAATGATCAATTTATTAACACTATGCCAGTGTTTAAAGCATATTTATTGGGAGCGTGATAACAACTTGAAAAGACAACAGAAATAATTATTTTGTACTCTAGAAGAATAATTAAATACACTTAGAAAATAAATCACGATGCAACATCTACTTAGAAAAAAATGAATAAACTTTAAACTTTGCAATATGTATACGAATATAACCCCTTAAGAAATTAGAAAATAAACTCTTCCCCTTACCTCGGTGTCAGAAAAGGATGCCATGAGATCCTCCAACTTTTTTGGCGGAGTCTGTACGTTGCTAGCCGGCTTGGCCGGATAAACTTGAACACCCTCGGTTGGGAACGGTTTAGGTAACAAAACCTCGTGGTCTTCGGGATTCTTGTTCGGTGGTACCGTAGTGGTCGTGTTCGAAAATTTATATATAGTCGTGGTAGACTGCGGTGGGGTGGTAGATTGTGGTGGTGATGTATAATAATTAACCGGTGTTCCCGGTTTATCAGGTGTCGGGTGTCGTCCACTGGACGGTGGCCGACTAGGATAGTGTTCCTCGATGCGATTTATGGTAGTATGCGTCTCGTTTATAGTAGGTGGTTGGTTCTGATAGATCACTGTCGTTCCCGGATAATCCGGTCGATCACCAGGTGGATGTCCGTTTGGATAACCTCCATCGACTTGATAGTACTTTTCGTTTCTCGTGATAGTCGTCTTATTCTCTGAGGGTGGCGAGGCAGGATAGACCGTCGTCGTTGGCTGCCCTGGTGGACTACCAAGATGGTCCTCGCGGTAGAACTTTGACTCTTGATGGATCGTGGTGGATTTCTTTGTAATGTCTGTCACTGGAGGTGGTGGGCTACTGTACCTAGTTGGCGTTCTAGATGGAACGTTCTCGGTCACGGTCTGATAGGTAATCGTTTTGTCCGTGGCTGAGGTAGTTCCTTTTGGTATCGTGTACGTGATAGTTTGATCACCTGGCAGCACAACGGTTCCTGGCACATTGCCACCTGGTAGATAGGTTTCAGGTGGCCCCGGTAGCTCGTACGTGTATGTTTTGATGGTGGTTGTTACTTTTGTGTTCGGACCGGGTGCCAGGTTGATCGGTATCGCTGGTGTTGGCGATGGCACTGGTATATACTCCACGTTTCCGTATTCTTGTGTGGCACTCGTGTGCATTGTTGTTACCGTGTTTTGTACCGGCTCTGTTTGGTAACCTGTGACATTAAAAAATTGTAAGAATAGATTTTGTTAGGAAACTCACTGGTGCAGTAGGTTTGTGGACTTTAGGGGTCTTTATACTTACTCGAAGACTCGTGGATGTATTTGACATCCTTTTGAGTACCTGGTAAAGGCGATGTTTGTTTCGAACGAGATGTAGAAGTATCGGTATATACCTGAAATGTGAATATTCTTTTATATCGTGTAGGTCGCGTGAACTCGATGGTGTGTGCAAGGTACTGTAGGAGACAAAGGACTCACTAGTTCTCTGTTGACTGGTTTGCTAACAGGTTCTAAGCTACGGTGCATTGTGCTTTCTTCGTAGGTCCTTTCTCGAATATCATCGCTGTAAAATATATATCGTTACACGGTGTATTATAATTTGAGGGAATTTCGGTAATAGCGTTGGTTAGTAATGCGATAGCGGAATGCCTAATTTCGCGGTTGTAGATAGTAAACAACGAAACGTGAATCCATTCGGATTTTATAGCTCAAATTTGAATTATTAGTTTTTGCTCTTGCAAGAAGCGTAGATGTAATTTTGTTGGCACGGATACAAGCAATTTTGATATTTTCGTCTCCTTCGTGAAAGAGTGGTACTTACATCATGGCTGAACTAGTGTTAGTTAATGCATTGTCTGTTGTCCACGAATCTGCAATGTAAAGGGGAAATTTAGCTTAACGTTATATCAATATTTATGACTTTTTTCAGTTTTAGACGAGTTTACAGTTGAATAATTTAATTTTTTTTAGTAAAGTATTTGTTTGCTTTCGTAAGCTATATAACTTAAGAATATTGTTATTAAATTTTTTATTTCACATTTAAAACAATTTACCTTTTGGAAGTAAGAAGCGAAGAGTAAAATGTAGATTCTTGTAAATAATATATGACTATATAAGAAGATTAAATTTAAAAATTCAAATTCTCTGTCAATTAACGTCACAGTTTCTTAATTTAAAAAATTATTTCTTCGATCACCAAAAGGTCAACGCAATTTCGCAGTAAAATGGCAACATAGAACTACAGGATTTCAATTCTCATTTAAAATTCTTCTGCGCAAAATTGCACCGTGATTTTCTAATCGAAGCATTATTTTTTCGACGATTAAAAATTCGATGCAATAGAATATCACGACGTAAGTAGAGCGATAAACATTCGAAGCGTAAACGAACGGCCATCACCCGGTAACCCAATGACAATGGACATCCTTGTGTCTCAATGTCGCCGATTTTTCGATTCGAATCAGGGTTTCCATCTTTTTTCTTCTGCCTTTTCTTTCCTCTCTGTCTGTCGTGCAACAGAGGGACGGAGAAATCGGGTCAACCTTCTGTTATACGCAACCCTAATATGGATACGCTTGTGTATCGTGTGTTACCGCAAAGAACACACGCTCTGGTCGCAACGTCACTTCCATATAGAGAGACAGCCAGCGCGGAAATCTTCTCCGTATAATGGCGTTGTCGTGTTACCTGCGACCACGGTTTACCGGAACCTCATAGAATTTCAGCAATTGCCACATTTACAACGCTGCGTTCCCCTTTTGCATAATGCATGCTTATTAGACATAATGTTTCACGGAATATAGCGTTTCGCGATCCTGCTGGGTTAAGTACCTTGTCTATGGAAAGTTTATTCCTGAAACTTATGCATAGTCCGAGTTCACTGCTGGTCGTTTACTTGTTTATAGGCTGCATGATTCGTGTA